ACGTGAATATTTATGTGGCAGTAGCCAGCGGATCGGCCTTACGTAAACCATCAAGCTGGACGTTGTTCGTTTCTTTTCCAGCTAGCGAAATAGCCATCGAATCGACGTGTTGTTCTTCACCCCATCCAACCGTATAGCCGCGTACGACCACCTCATTGTGATCCCTCGGAAAGTCCCACATGAGATGTATGGAGTCGGGCAGTGCCTCGTAGTGCACGTTGGTCGGCATCTGAGGAGGACGACTTTCTGAAATAACGTTTTAAAGTGAAATGTTTTGTAATGATTTTTTATACATCAGTTATGGCCCTTAATAACTAACGGTGTGAGAAATCTGAGTCTAGATGAGCAACAATTTTTTCAAGTACTTTATACATGCGGAGTAAAACTCTTGCCCCTCTAGTTCACCGATATTATCACCTATTTTGCGTACTGTTCAGAAGATCTGATTCTATTACAACGTTAACAATAGCTTAATTGGCTTAGATGATGGTGGGAATCGCATGCGACGAACATGTAAGAACGATTCTTCCTTCTTAATCATGACGAAGCTTATGTTTTAGAGCATGTACTGGCAGTTACAGTAATAACTGAATCACAAAATACGCAACACCATGTTAGCTAGCTACATGTTAGATCCTCTAGAACTGTGCGTGAGCAGTACCTTCTACTGAAGAAACCACGTGCAATATATACGTATCTATTAATAAACTGTGAAAGTATCTATAGTCATATCGGCCGGCCTCCTTTTGCTACAAACGTCCCACACAATACAGAATACACGGGTCAGAATTGATTTAATTTGGTTAATATTTTAATAAGCCAATTAATCGTCTGAGACAGCAGTCAGTGATAAACTTTCGATCAGGGTAGGAAGCAAACATCAGTTATACTTTAACACTGGCTATCTTCACATGTGTCATCTGATGATCCTTAACCCTAAATTTTGACCTCAAGTAGTGGGTAAGTTGTTTGTCGTGAAATTTAGGACAGCAGGTTTTGGTATCTGGCACATTGCACTATTTCTTTATTGCAACCGCAAATTCTTTTGAGAAAAGAATTCACCTCGCTGTACTTCAGCATAACCAGGCGAGAAATGGGAAGAACGTCCTCCTGCGAACAGTACGGAGAGCAAGGTGTTTTGGTGTAGTAATGCCAGAGCGTAGGATGCATACGGTCATTCTGCCTGATCTGTGCGTTTTACGGCTGTACCTCGCTTTGACTCACCCCCTAGCTGATTAAAAATCGGCTCAGAGCGTAAAAGATCATAACCTTAATCATACATAACCGCTTCTCCGTTCGGATCGCGGAGGCAGGCGCGTCAGAACAGTGCTTCCAACGTTCCAGATCCAGTACCGGAGCCAGTTTCGGCTGAAGACAACTGGAGTCTGGAACAGACTCCTTCTATGTATTTGCACAAGGTTAATCTTGGCTGTCCCCTGGGCCTTCTGCCGGTCGGCGGGGCAAGAAATACGTCTCGCCTTCCTTTCTGGAGGCATTCGCAACACATGCCCAAACCATCGCAGCTGTGACTATTCAATCCGAAGAAGCAGTGGCTGTACACAAAGGTTCTCACGGATGCCTGCATTTCGGATCATGACGAGGTCTGCGACTCGTCTCAGAAAGCCCACTTAAGCCGCCTGTACGCGTGATCCACGTCTCATGACCACAGGTAATCATGAGGATGAAGATCGATTTGAATACCGAGAGCTTAGTCTTCAGACTAAGCTGTTTTAGTCACAATGGTTCGGGCAAATTCATGCAGAACGCTTCTGACTACTCCAATCCGCCGCTTGATCTCCTCATTAAATTTTCTTTCACAAGTAACTGTTTCTCCATTAATCAGAAGATAGCAATGGGCAAGAGAATGAGAAGGCACCGGGATTTTCGTTTTAGACACCTTCACACGCATGCCGACTACGTCACATTCGCAGACTGCAGATCAGTTTCAGAAGATACCAGTAAAATCATGTCGTCTGCAAACAGCAGTCTTCTCATCTCGACATCTCCTACACCGATACACTCATCGCCTTAGCTACGCCTGACTATTCCACCCATGTACAATGCAAACAGGAGACCTCGCCTTGACCCACCTGATAGCTGATTAAAAATCGGCTGCATGCGTAAAAGACAAATTCAATAAATTTATATATGTCCAGAATTTTAACCAAATTAATGTGTATGGGTCGGCTTCCTAGATATCGGTTACCATGTCATCGAACGTCACGGGTGTGTATTCAAAAGCAATTTCATGGTCTGCCTTTCCTGACCGCGGTCGCAATAGGTTTAATCTTCCCCATGCAGAGTAGATGATTGCAGCTGTTTTGTCTAGTCCAAAGCTGATACAGCATAAGTCATTGTCAATGAACTAGATGCATGCCCGAGGGTTTTATATGGAGCCGATGGCAAGGTTTTTGCTGTGAATGAACTCCAAGTCTGTTCGCCACCTTCCCTCTGAACTTGTATTGGGACCGTATCCTGTTCCCTCATTGAGGGTTCCGAATGAAAACGCTGAGTCTGTATACTGTATTGTGCATGTCGGACACGGAGCTGGCCATAGCCATCGATTATTTTGAACATTCGATAAGTTTATACTAAATGAAGTTTTTATATGAGAGGTACAGTAACGCGGTTTTGGGAGACATACGGATCCCCGTGTTACAGGCAACTAGCGGCACTGTAGGAAGCTTGATGCGAAATAACAGAAAACTCGTCAAAGCTCAGATAGTGCATATGCTCTATAAGAAGTTCAACAGCATAATGATATAACGCTGATATCATATTCTGATTTAAATGCACACCACGCTATTCAAATCGACGTTTTTAAAACAGTTCGATGTTTTAGTGATCTCAAACTCACACACTTCTATTATGACTGATTAATATGAGTTTGAGACAATGTGACGAGTATAGATGTCACTTTTCCATAGATTCAGAACACAATATTAGGTTACCCCGAACGACCGTCAAGACGCAATCCCTTAGTGTAGCATCGTGATATTTGCAGCCAAGACATTAATAAAAAGCAGAAGAAGAACTAGAAACATTTTGGGGAACAGGATTGGATCCGGGATATACCCGAATCGGCGGCTTAGTGAGGCAAAGCGAGGTACATTTAACGAAATTTTACTTTAAGCAAGGCGCCTGTCCCGCTCTGCGGTAGTGTTGAGGTGCAATGTGTAACAGTCTCTTCTGCTTTCATGATTTTGTCACCAACTGGTTGTTTCGTAATTTAAGGGTCAAATTTCTTCGCGTGAAAGCTGCAGCTAGATTTAAAATATTTAAAGCATTTGCTCTGAAATAAAGTATCATGTTTGAGGTTTACCCATGTTCCCTGCATTTTGTTAATAAGCAATGTACTGACTGCGTTTTGTGCCTTGCAGCTAGCATAATGACGAAATATTCCAAAATTTGCTATACATAAACCAGTAAGGCAGAATAAGTTACAAAAGATAGTTCTACTCCATCAACATTCAATCAGAGTTTTCATGTGGTACTCGGCTTGATCTGTCGATGACCTTTCCCAAATGTAGAAATTCATTTTCGACTGAACTGAAATCCATTGATTCTTGTGGTCAAGGTCGCAAAGAAGCCGTAACTTTCTGCCACCAATAATGCATTAAACATGTCGTTTTAGTGTAGCATTCAATATTGTTTATTGACATCAGAAGGAGTCAGCGATCTTTAAACTCCTGCAACAATTCTTCAAATCCAAGATCTTTAGGGACTGTTTAGCAGCCATAATGTGGTACTGATGCACTGGGAAGTATATTTTGGATACAACACCGATAAACTGCTAAACCGGGGTCTATGTAGTTGTTCGTTTCCTGAAACAAGGCACAGGTTTCTTCACCGTAGATTATATCTGAAATGCAAAAATGGTTTTCCGAAGTTCACTGTAGTCTAGCAAATCTTCACGGTCGTTTCTACACAGCAGTCACTGTGTTTAGTCATGAGCTATTCCAAGTAGTAAATGTAATTTACAAGTCATTTCACTGAACGCCCGGTCATTTCGCACTTTCATGGTAATCATACTGCAACAATAACTTTTAGAAATGGACATCAGGATAAGATAGGGAGTAGCAAGAGGATGAACATATATATAAATAATGTGTGAAGCATTTTATTGTGAACGCTGTTTTCGGTCGCCTTAGCTACGAGGAAAATAGGTCAGACAAGGAAAACTATTAAAGAAAGCAACGTCTCTGAACAGTTGTGGTGTCTTAGACACTGTAGACCGAAAGTAATCGTTAAACCAACTCGCTTCTTGAAGATATACCAAATAGCTAACAACAGAATACGGAGTATCTGCGGAATAACGTACTAACGTACAGAATAACCCTTCATAAGTGTTATCACACTATTCACAAGGATTTTTCTAAACGCTATAACTGTGTATATTTTGGAATTCATACCAATACAAAATCCGTATCTGAAATAAGAAGTGCTCAAATTAGAGGCCTTTCGATAGATATTCAAAGAAGCAAAGATGAGTTGCGAATTTGCTCATCTTTGTGCCTTTAACCATTGTATCAAAAAATATTCTGTTTAAGACTCTAGCTATATCTTTAGTCCAATGTATTATTGAAGGAAAAAATTTATAGCTCTATCATGCATCACTTTACCACTGGATGGTTATTAAGTCGAAGAGTTTTGGATATGCTGCAGGAGTGCCTGATGATTTTATACTTAACCGAAAAGGCTAAGGTTTTGGAATTTGACAGATTTTTGTAATCTACACTGCATCTTTCCTGTAACGATTTAGAGAACCAGTTATTTTTGATCTGCTTGCTACAATTTAAATAAACGCTTAAGCACTTGGAATCACCAATGATGAAGAAACAAAATGCCGACTGATTTTGTGTAGAAGCGCTTGCGCCGTGACACCAAATGACAGCTTATTCGTTTCTGTGCTTTAGGGTACGTTAAATTATTTGTCTGAAACCAAAGAAGATGTAATTTTCTGAACCGAAACCTACTAACTCCTCGATAAGCATATCTGACCATTCGACGGTGCTTATTCGAGCAAAGACAACTTCCGCCGACACGATATGTTTGAAGATCTGTGAAGCACAGAAAAAATGCGGCCTTTGAACGAAGTTATAAGCGTCATAAATGCGGCAGAAACGTGATAGGTGACGGATGGCTAGAGGACGAGGAAAAATCATCTAGAACGCAAAGGCATATATGACAGCTACTGCATAGATGAAGCGTTTCAAGCGATAGCTCAACACTGCTTGGGCGGCATAAAACGATCAGTCCTGACAATGACATTCTAGTCTTTAATAGTCGGTAAGAAGCCAAGAATGGCAGCGTCTCCTTCGCGAAGTTCCTGCTGTGTTCCGCAACGTCACCAGCTACGGAAGAAAAGTGCGAGCCATCGAAGAAGCAGAACCCAATTCTATTATTAAACGTCAGAAATGTGGCGTTAAAGAGGACGTTAAAGGTTGTAAGCCTGACGGAAACAAGTAATGTTAATGAAGGATGTCGATTACAAGTTAACAATTCAATCTTGTCGAGAACACGCCAAAACGGCGTTCTGCGCATTCTAGAAACAGCACTAGAAACAATGACAGTTATGTGCAGTGACATAAAGCTGTACGTTTCAGACGAAACCGATGGAAGACCCCGACGATGCTGAACGGATGAAAAGTTGAACAACAGCGAACATCATCTACAGCACGAGGATCGTAGAAGACGGCGAAAATTTATGTCAACTAGAGTATGTGAAGCCGGCTACGAAATCGACGATGGATGACACATCGACCGGGATAAAGAACGAAATACATAAACACAAAGACTGACAAAAAACGAGATGCAATAAGCTGCATACGAAAGAAAGGAACATGACTACGTGGTGAACAGCGACGGCTGGAGGCGAACGGCTCACATAACGTTGGAACAAGTATATTTACCGTCGAGGTCGGCACGTGCAGGCCCGACGACGAGTTCCACCACCAGAAGTGACAACAGCAGCGACGATGGCGACATGCCGTGCTTCAGATGGTCGTGCGTCTGCGTCAGAAGTCAGGAACGCACAGCGGCAGCGGCACGCACAGGAGGGCAGTGCTGAGCAACGTCACTGAGATACCTCACACTAAAAATGGCGTCGATCATCACAGAGTCTCAGACACGACAGTCACCGTGAGAGCATAGCAAGAAATGATGGCACTAAAGCGTTGGAAACGGATACGGCGTCGTGTAGCGCCGCGTGGTGTGGCGCCGCGTGGTACTTTCGGTTCACTTCGACGCGGTCGCTAGGTCCGGCGTTGGACCAGTCTGTGATTGTGATGGCGCTGATTGGTCAGTGGCTGCCGCAGCGGCGGGTGACGTCCCTAACTGGTGCCTGGGCGGATTCTCCGACGACGCCGACGCCGACGTTGCGGTGCAGCCCACTCTCGTCGTGAAACGGGTCGGGCGGTGTTTGGTTTCCTTTAATCAACGGTGGCTGCACACAAGCGCGTGACAGCTTAAAGGCGGGTTAGAGGGAAGCGAGGGTGCTTGACGGAAAGGTCACACAAGGTTAGAAAAGCCTGCAGCCTGCACATCAGATAACTTCCGTATGAAGCAGCGAATATGCTGCGCACGCCGTCAGACAGAAGGTTGTCGACTTATGTTCAATATCGCACAAGATACGTAAAAGAAATGGGCGAATGAGTTTCGTGTGACAGTTGATAAGAAGGTCGCAAAGGTGCCTTGGTGATCATCGACGTGGCTCGGCCCAGGGGTAGGATCGGACTAAAACCGAAGATGGGACGAAAGCGTCATTGACCGCTAAATGACGGTCGGTAGAAGAACTAACAACAAATTGTCACTTCTTCTGGCACAACTCTAACGAGTACGCGTCATCCCATTTAACGGTCGTAAATCACGCTCAAATCCATGCACTGATTTTTGGATGAAATTAACACTCGTTATCGAACCAGTTGATGAGTGCTAACGGAGACCAGCGTTGATTGCATAAGGCGGTTCGGAACGAGCTAGCGCCGGTGCATCTCATCAGTGCATTTGTTCCATATGCTGGGCGCTGGGATCGACAGTCAACCAGCAAGTCAGAGTTGTCATATCGGAGGGTGAATAAGTTGTAATTTCGAGGATGGGCCATGAGGACGACTGCTCGGCTTGGCCTGCACCGCCTCGTAACTTTCGTCAAGCACTTGTCACCGTTAGGCGCAACGTACAGACGAAAGACGTAACGCCAGCCACATGTACGCTCTGCGAGCGTGTGATCAGCGCCGGTTCCTAATTAATTCAGCGACATTCGTCTTATCAACGGCACTACTGATAGTACACCTCAAAATCTTAGTTATTACAGCAACCCGAACTTCGACGGGTTAGGTAGGGGGCACGCACGAAGCTTCGGCTGGAACGCAGTGGCGTGGCGGGGTCGGTTGACACAAGCTTGGCCGGTCTCGCTCCACAGAGCCTTCGCTGACTATCGCATGGAGTCGAAACAACTGAGGAAGCAAAATGCCACGTCGTATATCCTGCTTTGCGTAACTGAATGCTTGGCGTACTTGTGGCATCCTGCCACAGACACGCACGGGTCCGCACGGGTCCACACGGGTCCACACGTATGTATCTACGGCGTGGTGGTTGATCGAGATGATGTTACAAAAAGTAGCGAATTTTTGGTTAATTTTCAGTTAGGCGGTTTTTTCTGTCCGTTTGTGATCTGCACACTTTAACTGCTGGTCAATGTCTGTCGATGGGCGGATATGTGCCTTCAGAGAGGCGTTAAGTGGCGATTTCGATGGCAAACAAAACTTGAGGCGACCAGCAAAAACGGTTATTGTTTCGTCACACGACACTTCGTCGTCGGCCGGCGGGCGAGCGGCAAAGTGGCGAACGGCATGATGGACGCTGTGCTTGACGCCTGGTAATGGCGGCACGGTCGATCCGTAGGCCACGATCACCGACGGCAGCTTGAAGCGGTTCTGGACACAACCTCGTCTCCTGTTTAATGTTCTGTATTTCGTTGTGTTTGTCGAAAACCGCTGCCTCAAATTTTCGAGTTATGACGAAGCGCCTCGACGCGATGAGGCGATAAATTTGAAACGCCAACACGATCTTGTCTTATTAGCACCGGCGAGCACAATAAATTAGCTTGACAGAAAGCCGACTGGCCGACAAGTAGTGAAAATCGATCCAGCATCTGCAACCGGTACTCGTATGTAAATGTACAGGCTGGCCACCGTGGTCTTATGGCTTATTTCAAAACTTGCATTCTGCAACTGGGGCCCGCATTCCCAGGCATGCAGTGATTGACACCCCAAACTTCCGGCGTCTTACTGGCCCGTTCAATCTGACGCTGAAACGAACCACGGTGAGGTACGTACCACTTTGCTTCTCGAGCGGATCACAAAATGATCGTCGATGAAGTTGCTTCCATATTGACAACAACAACAACAGAAATATACACTGTGCTGCTTATCGCGCTTGATAATCAGTTATCAGGTGGAGCAAGACGTGTTTTCAGTCGTAAGAGACGCATGCATCAGACAGCATGCTCCTACATCTCGACCATTGCGTTATGGCTACACCGGAACACCATGCTGTCCCTGCTGTTCGCGGGTCAGCCACCTTCTACTCGTTTCTCGTCTGGTTGCACCGAGGTAATGTGAGAGGATTTATTTGCCCGAGGGAATTTGTCGTTAACGCAACTCTTTTCTTCATTTCATGTTCGTGCGCAGCACAGCACCTTTGGAGTTCAAAATCAAATTGCAACAAACGCCGATCTATACTTTTATCCTTTCAAGAAGTCCGATAGAACTAGAGCGATGATGGAGGTCAGCATTGTAAAGTTGACTAATCACCGACACATGCTTCAAGTTCATGTAACCGCAAAATGTGATTTAATGAACTCGTGGTAGAACAGATTTTCAGATATTCCT